CCCATATGTTCATAGGCTCTGACGTTTAAATGGCATTTGGTTTTGCCAATATAGGAGGCCTTACATTCTCCAAACATGTAAAGATAGACAAGCTAGGAACAATAAGGAATGGGAAGGAGATCTTTAGTAGGGAAGAAATTTTTTTATGCGTGATGTGGATTTAAAAACTAATCTGAAATCCACTTGAGGGTAGTAACGACCAAGTATGCGTTTAAGTTGATTTTTTTTTAATTTAAGCTTTGTTTGCCAGTATAGGGAAGACACGAGTATATAGTAAGTTTGGGTACAGTTGGTATCTTAATTGGATTTGAGAGTTTCTTTGTCAGGAATGTGTTGATAATGTTTTCTAATAAGTGTTGTGGGTAGCAGTTACATTTCAGAATATCATGTAAGAATGAAATTTCAGAGTGTAGATTAAGATATGTGGATCACAGGTTGTAAGCTCTGTTTAGTAAGCATGTAACAAGGTTTCGTTTATAAGTAAATGGGGATAAAGCTATCAAAGTGTGTAATGAGCATGTCTGAAAAAGCTAAATTATTATTATTCTCAACCTCACATGTAAATTTAATGCAAAATGTTGTGAGTTAAGATATTCTAAAAATTTTAAGCATTGATCACTATTATTAAAAAGAATAAAAGCATAAAAATATGCTTTATTGAAACACATCTCAGTAGCTTTTGCAATTTGTAGTTGAAACTGATAAATCTAACTAATGTAGTTTTATAATTGATATATGTACACACACACACATTTAGTTTTATAATTTATATGTGTATTCACACACATTTAGTTTTATAATTTATATATGTATTCACACACATTTAGTTTTATAATTTATATATGTTTTCACACACATTTAGTTTTATAATTTATATATGTATTCATACACATTTAGTTTACAATTTATATATGTACACACACATTTAGTTTTATAATCTATGTATGTACACACACACACACACACACATTTAGTTTATAATTTATGTATGTACACACATTTAGTTTTATAATTTATGTACGTACACACACATTTAGTTTTATAATTTATGTATGTACACACACATTGTTTTATAATTTATGTATGTACACACACACATTTAATTTTATAATTTATATATGTACACACACACATTTAGTTTTATAATTTATGTATGTATACACACACACATTTAGTTTTATAATTTATATTTGCACACACACATTTAGTTTTATTAATCTATGTATGTACACACACACACACACACATTTAGTTTATAATTTAAATATGTACACACACAATTAGTTTTATAATTTATATATGTACACACAGTACAAAACGAGAGGAACAGAGATGATCAGGATGACCATACCTGGCAAAACATTAAAGGGAGTACATCCGCGTGAAAAAGGATAGTTTAGCAAAATGATCTTAAACAGAAATCAGAATCACTCAATCCCACGATGGTAAGTGGGCAAGTGAGGATGTGTCCCATGGTGTAGAGTGGGTAGGGCAGGACAGACTGTACTCAGTAAGTAAACTAACATCCAAACCTCACTCACTGGGTACAGACATTCTTGCAAGGGAAGGATGAGGGTCATACTGTATTCACTTCAAGTTTCAGAGTCAAGAGATATCCTAACATTTGACTCCAGGAACTCGTAGGGACCCGGGAATGTGTCATTTGGAATCTGAGGGAAGTCCATCACATGCACTCAACCCCTGCAACCGTGAAACCAGTCTGAAACAGCCCTAGGTTGGTAATAACCTTCTCACCCAATGAGGGAAAACCGAGGACAGAAGCATAAACAGGCCATGTAGACCTTCTGTGACCCACAACACAAAAGATAAGCCGAGTGGGGAAGATGGGCAATCCGAAACCTG